AGACATGGCAGGGGCAAAGCAGGAATGTGAGTAATGCGCTCGCCCGTGGGTCCCATGCCACCTCCTGCACCCCAGCCTGTCCCCCTGCAGCCTGACACCAGGGTTTGCTGTGACACGTGGGGTTGACACAGGCACGGTCACTCTGACCCCAAGTCCTCTTCTACCTGGGGGCCAGAGGGCCAAGTGACGTATCTCTGAGGGACTTTGGGACTTGAGTGGTGGCCAGCAGATTGTCCCCTGGACATCCAACTCCTTCCGTGAAGGGCATAAAGTACTCGTCGTTACTGCTACCTCTGCATCCTGCCAGGATTCAGGTCACCCAGTTTGGGTGGCTCTGAGCTATCCAGTTCCTGAACTTTTCAGTGTGTCCCACAGCTGCCTGCACACACTCTGGGTTCAGAGCTGGGCCCAGCACCAGCCCGGGGACGCTGATACCAATTTAAATTTAACAGGAGGCAAGTGACTCACTGTACCAACACCCAGGTACTGATGGCAAAGCTGACTAACTGGACAGTGGGAGGACAGGTTTCTTATGAGAATGGTCCCCACCTCAATGATGGCACTATTCCCTGTGAAGCAAGTATCATCACTTCACTGAACATGCACATAATGACGCACATGGCCTCTCGAGGCAGTTAATTTAAATACGATATTGCCATGATCGAAGGCACACGCTATGAATACCTTAGTCTTCACATTCTATCACTGTATAGATTTGGTGTCTGTAGAAAAGACACCAGCTATTATTTTCATCCTTCCTTTTATTCAGGAACTTTAGACAAATAGGGCATCATTTCTACATAAGATGCAAACTCAACAGCAGAGCCTTCCCTTCGGACATTATGGACCAACTCTATGGGAAAATTCCCTTTGGTAAGTGAGATTTACCCACTTAAGTCAATTAAGTACAGTTCTTTCCTTGAATGTTCACTAGCAACATGAGAAAGTACGTAACAGGAGAAAGCACGTAACATGAGGTGTAGGGAGGTTGTAACACCTGCATGTCAGGGTTTAGACATGGGAATACATTGTCATTTCATCTGCTGTATCCAGGTCACGCCTCAACTCCTCCTCTTCAAATTTTGACTTTTTAATATGCTTTATTTTCCAAGAGTCCTTTTATGCTCAGCTTGTAGAGAGGGCTTGGTAGAGAAGAGTGTCTAGAATTTATGGATGAATGCACAGACATGAACACAGTCTTTGATACCGGCATGTCCATTGTTGTCCGCTTATGACATGGATTATGTACTTGATGACACTGTATACACTTCCCATGATACAGGTGTTTTGCTTCTGTACAATAACCCACGTTCAACTGCTTAGTTGAAATGAATCAAAGAAGAGAATGTTGGCAGTTTTGCTGTTGTTTAATGCAGGAGTAATGCATTGCCTAAATTATCACTAAATTATCACTGCCTAAGTAATGCAGTCTCTAAATTATACATGAATCTGTGACTTTGAAACCCTGTTAATTCCCTTTGTGATGTTCTCATATATTTCTTTAAACTGCATCTAAATGAATGGTGAGTCTATACAGTGTGAGACCAAGCATCAGGAAATGATTTAGTATAAAAGTTCTTGTGGCCACTGGCCATTCACACAGCATGGGTGTTGTGAGATGGTACTGGAAGTGACCTTGCAAAGTGGGTTGTGTGTTTGTAATGGGCAGAGTAGATACACCCTTGGGAATTCTCATTGCCTCTGCATTGAGTATTCTACAATGACAAAAACGGTTGTGGTTTTGAAACTCCTACAACTAATCAACTTGATACTGTAGGCAATACAAATTAGACAAGATAATTACATAACATATACCAGAATGTAAATAAATATGTGTATGTAAAAATTGCAAAGCAGTATATTGTAGAAAGAATGAAAATCCAGTCCCAAACAAATGTGTTGTAGCAGTAGTTGTAGCTTGACTTGCTATTAAAAATATAACTACTTAATTTTTCTCTTGTTACTTTGTTTTTCTTTTTTACTGCTGGAATCAGCATTAATCCCCAAATATTTTAAATAATCGGCACACCTGGAAGTCTTAATGTTTAGATATTGTATGTATATCTTAAGATAGTAGAATTTATTCAGGTTTTTATGAAGAAAATTATGTGTTTGATGTTGGTGTTAGTGTTTATGTTGATTATTTTCATGCTGTCTAGTTGAATGCATTAGTAAGATGTTCATATTTTTTATGCCTTTTTCCTAAACAATCATAACCTCATTTTGAAAACTGAAATAGGGCCATAGAATAATTTCTTACATGAAAAGATGAAATGCAATAGTCTCCATGGGGAATTTGTTTGGACTCTCAGGCACACCCAACCTCCTTAGTCAGTGAGACTCCAAGGGGAGAGATTGTCAGGGATGGGGGCACATTTACTCCTCTCAGTTGTTTGGAAGTCACCCAGCATTAGTGTCAGCGATGGAAAATTGTGTCCATTTTAACCTGGATTAATTTTCATTTTTGGAAAACATTTTATCAAACTTCAGGTAATTTGCTATTGTTTTCATTTCCTTATCTCTGATAATAAGAGGATGGGAAATGTTATATTTTTACTGGTGTTTATCATGATTTTTTATTTATTTATGGTCATTCTTTACATATCTCTGAGTAATATAAAATTATAGATAATATATCATTACTGCTATTATAAATATTTTATGTGATTTTTTTATTTTATCTCCATAGGTTTGAACAAATATAAGTCAGCTTACTAGGTTTCTTTAGTTTCAGTAACCTCTGTCGTTTCATCAAGATATCACATTATTTAAGATGATATAATGCATCTTATTCATTTGTAAGCCTATTACATTTTCAACATATTTCTATACTGAAATACTAACATTCTATTAGATTACATCTAAATTTGTTTCATATTTCCATTTATCTTCCCAGATACTTTGGCTCAGTCCCTTCTCTCCTCTTGAATGTAAATCTTATTGTAGCTACCCGATGCCGGCCCAGTATAACCGCCAAACTCAAGGCAATGGACTTTAGCAAGTCTACAAGGTGGACCTTTGTCATTCAATGATACTTTGAGACTTGCCACATAAAGTATCTGGCAATCACACTGGCAGATGAATTCACCACTAATATGATACCCAAAATTTATTTATTAAAAGGAAAGAATCAATTATTATTCAAGGGACAGGATTCTCTGAAAATCATCTACTCTGCTATATATAGTTCATCTACTTATAGATTTTTATAACCTAAAAATTAAATAAATTCTTTAGGTGTATTTCCACTCTAAACTAGTCATTTTATGCAATCCAGTTACATATACAGAAATGCAAAGTGTTATGTTTAGAAATAAGGGGAATTAGATTTTCAGTTAAAGAAAATAATTTGAGTACCACTGATATGCAGGGCTGGAGCGATAGCACAGAGGGTAGGGCGTTTGCCTTGCACGCAGCCAATATGGCCGACCCAAGTTTGATTCCTCCACCCCTCTCAAAGAACCCGGCAAGCTACCAAGAGTATCTCGCCTGCACAGCAAAGCCTGGTAAGCTACCAGTAACGTATTTGAAATGACAAACACAGTAACAACAAAGTCTCACAATGGAGACATTACTGGGCCCACTCGAGAAAATCAATGAACAACAGGAGGACAGTGACAGTGACAGTGACAGTGACCACTGACATTGCCTTCAAACACTCCCCAGTTACATATTCCACTGACACAAATATACATATCCAAATACATGACATTTTAACTTCTACACAAATCCTGTACTGCAAATCTGTATCTGTTCCTATAACGAGATTTCTTAGGCTTGGAAGCATGGAAGGAAATGACAGCTATAGATTCTGATGTATCTGTGATGATACTTGTTTGTGTTCATTTATGCAAAGTTGTGTTCCCCCAGAGAGTCTAAGGGTTAGGTGTGTGAGGTGTTTGCTGTAGTCAGTGAGTGTTTCTGCTGGAAGAACTTTTCTAGGGCTCCAGTTAGGAAGGCATATCCTACCTGCCACCAGGCCGTCCAGATCAGGCTGATGCATATAACAGTATCCATGATCAGAGCTGCTCTTTTATCAATTTATTCTTTCGGTTTGGGGGCTACACCCAGAGGTGCTTAGGGCCTACTCTTGGTTCTGTGCTCAGGAACCAGTCCTGGTGAGCTTGGGGGACCATATAGGATGTCAGGAGATCAAACCGGGGTCAGTCACATGCAAGGCAAAAGAACTATTGCTCCAACCCCTTTTATGAAATTGTGAAATAATCTTATGACATTATGAAAGAGGGACATGAAAGAATAATTTTATGGAATTGTGAGAGAAAAGTAGGGAAAGAGAGGAGGAATGAAACAGAAAGGGATCCTATAAAAAGATACTTCTTAAAACATGTTATAGACTCACTACCTTTACCTGATGTACAGCTTAGTATATGACATTCTGTAGTATGTAATTTATATTTACATTACCACAGATAACTCTTCTACTTTTACCTGAAAAGCTACCGTACATATTTCTCTTCAAACCACTATTTACTGAACACTATTTAAGTATATACTTCCAGAACGTATAAACTTTAGCCCCAGTCAGTTATTTTTTCACTCTCGTTTGCCACTTTTCTAAGATCTTTCTTTCTACACTCACCCGCAGTGATGTTCTTCGCGGGATTCTTAGATTGCTCAGTGTGTCTGTATTGTGGTACAAGCCAGGAACTTGCATGGAATTGGAAACCCAATGTCTGTTCCAGACTCTCTAAAGATCAGGGGGGCTGCTGTGTGAAGAAGGTGACGTTTCCCAGGCCCTCGGTGGACTGAGATGAGTTATCCAGTCGGAGAGTAAACTTTAGGAACTAGAGTCCAACACTAAATGTCAGGCCAACGCATTCCTTTCCCTTGGAAAATGTCTTCGGGTGGCCTGCTGTGTCCCTCTGAGTGAGATGGGCAGAAGGCCAGGGCTGGGGGCAGGCGGCCCTCTGCCCGTGCGTGTGTGAGTGCGTGTGTGTGAGGCTGTCCTGACCGTGCTCTCCGACTTTCTGCCCTTGCAGCCGAGGGCTCCTGCGGGGGCACCCTGAGGGGCACCAGCAGCGGCATCTCCAGCCCCCACTTCCCCTCGGAGTACGAGAACAACGCTGACTGCACCTGGACCATCCTGGCCGAGCCCGGGGACACCATCGCCTTGGTCTTCACCGACTTCCAGCTCGAGGAAGGCTACGACTTCCTGGAGATCAGCGGGACAGAAGCCCCATCCATCTGGTGAGTGACTCTGCCGGCCATGCACAACCTATGTGCGTCTCATGGACTTCTCTGGCCAGGCTGTGGGTTGCAGGCTGACTGCGTGCCCTGGAGTGGCCCCAGGAATTGACCTGAGGGCAGCTCACATGCACGGTTCCTTTGGAGTTGGTGTAGGAGCTGCTCCAGTCACAGTGCTCCCCTGACCTCTATGAATTGTGCTCAGACTCTGCCTGCTTTTCTTCCCTGGAGATTCTGCTCCAGACCAGATTCAGCGAGGCTTCTGTTAGCTTTGGCCACCACAAGAGGGGTGCCAGCGGCAAACCATAGAGAAAAATGCAGGGGAGGCATGAAAGTTCTGAGGATCTGTTTAGAGCATGTGTGCTGATCAGAACGAAAATCATGCTGCTCTACTCTGTAGTTTGTTGAATCGGTGGCGGGGAGCATCACTGGGTCTGCGGGTTCTGTTGGGAAGGACAAAACCGACAGCTAAACATTCGAAGATGTAATCACATCTGTTGGAGGAAATGCTGGGGTTTCCGCATTTGGGGTGTTCTGTCTTTCCTGTAGAACATTTCGGCTCTCTAAGTACGAGCGAGTTTTGACCTGCGTGTGTGTGAACTAAGGCAGGACCCAGAAACAGCGGCTATTTCTGCAGTGAGAGGAGAGACATGAGCCATCACATACAGTTCTACAGAATTAAGTTTGCATTGCAGTACAAAGGCTGAATATTTTCCTTTAGGAAAAAATATGATTAGATCACCTGTCTTAAATCAATTATGGTAACTGAATTTGATTTGATTTTCCAAGACTTCAAAGCAGGGATCCATGTTAATGGATAAATTATTTCCTTGGTGCTGAATGTTCCTGGGAGAGCAACACCGCCGTGACCTGCTGTGGTCTTTGCTGGGCGTTTGCTGCCCTCTGACCTTGCAGAGGGCTGAGTGAGTTGCCCGTTGAGTCACTTCGTGAAAGTCAGACTCTGTGATGCTGACACCCTCCTCCCAACTCTTGCTTGTGCAGTACCTGGTTCCTGCGGGCCCTGGGGATTCCGAGTCCAGCACCCAGGCCCCACAACAGGGGATGCACATGGCCCCATGATCTGTGCCAGGCACTTGGTTCCATCTGAAAGAGCCGCACTGAGTTACTTCAGAATCAGCTCGTCAGCCCTGCAGGAACACACATTCCTATGAATCCCACCAGGAGCTCAGCATGCGAGCACCCCAGCCCAGGTTACTCCAGGGACAGAGGGAGGAGGCTGTGATTGATGTCCCATGGTATGTGAGAGAGACTCTGGACACTGTCCAGTGCCACTGGGCCTTGGCTGGGGAGGCAGTGGGAGAGAGATGGGGAGCAGGGCAGCTTGGGCAGAAATTAGAGGCTGCTCCTTTGCCAGGCCGGGTTTCCTAAGGAGGCACGTGAGGGGCAAGGATCATCACAAGGTCCAAAGCACAAGTGGACACTCAGTCAGAAATGCTGGTCCAAAGGAGAGGCAGATCACACACTTGATGATTTCTACAGGGTGATATACTCAGTATTCACAAGTGATTCACTCAGTACTGTTGAGTAATATACACAGTGCTCCCAAGTGATGTGCATGGTGCTCCTGGGTGAGTGATGCATTCAGCATGACCGCGTGAGAAGCACAGCACCCTAAGTAGAGAAGCAGTACTCCTGAATTATAAACAGAGTATCCCCAAGACACAGACTCTCTTCTACCAAGTACTGTGCACAGAACTCCTGTGTGATGCATTAGAAGCACCAAGGGCTACACAGAGAACTTGTGAGTACTAGACAGACTACTTGTGAATGCTACATAGAATACTGATGAGTGCTACACAAATACTAATGAGTGCTACACAGGGTACTTGTGAGTGCGATACACAGCATTAATGAGTGCTGTACACAGTGCTAATGGGTGCTACACAGAGTACTTGCAAATGCTACCCACAGTACTAACGAGTGCTACATATAAGACTCTGAGTGGTCCCAGACATGGACGGTGGAGCGAGATGTGGAAGGTGGGCCCAGATGGGGGCTTAGTGCTCTTGGTCCCGGGTTCATCCCTGAAATTCTTGGGGGCACCTGCAGAGCTGACAAGGACAGCCAGGGAAAGGTGTGCTGTGGACCTGGTTGGGGCGTCTCTGCCTTTCAAACAGCTGGACACAGACATTCATGCATGGGCCTGGACCTTCCTATCTGCATGTGCTACACGGGGCGTGACCCGCTGGGCCCTGGCAGATGTGGGTTCCCGGGGCTGTGGGAGCAGGGAGACGCCTTGGCCTCGGGGAAGGGTCTCTGCAGCCAGTCACCCCCCACCACTGTGCCTCTGGGCACACTCTCTCGTGGACCAGCGGCCACCCGGTCACTGCTTCCTCCCCCCACAACAGTGTCTCGTCCAGTCCCGAGGCTTCCTGTGTCCCCGGAATCACCCGCGCTTCCTCTCCCCCAAGCTGGGTGTGGTACAACCAGCACCGCCCAGACACGGGGCTATCAGGAAGGGGATAAGCATGTCCTCGGACGTCAGTGCTGTGGCCCCGAGTAGTACCGAGAGACTTTTGGGAGGCGCAGAAAGAGTCAGACGTGGAAATCTCTGGCCTTCAGCGCCCATGCACAGATCCTTCCAGGGGCTTGTTTGAACAAAACACATATGCACAAATATAATGAAATCGGAAATGAAAGCCAGGAGGAGCAAATTAATTATCTATAAATGGAGATTAATAGAATTGTGGAGATCAAAATGAATATTTAATTTTTAATTCCCAGGCATCTTGGGCAAAAGGAGGAAGCTGGCAACATACCAGATGCTCATTAGAAAAGGAGGGAAATTTGCAGATTTCTCCCAGTCATGAAAGATTTTTCCCAGTGCTACATTTGAAAATAAAACGTAAATCTGGTTTTGCCCTGATGAGGACAATGCAAAATTTTATAACAAGTTTCCTTGTCTTGGTAATTTTTCAAAATCAAGTCTCTTCCACCCAAAACCCGTCAGAGGAGATCAAAATAACCATACACTGACACACATGCTCTCTCACACATGCACTGAGTCTCATGGTCACACGCGTTCACATGCTTATTGTACCCATGCTGCACATGCATGCACATTCACACACATATACTCACACACATACCCAGACAGACATGCAGACATGCTCACAATACGCATATGTTCATACACAGACACACTCAGACACGTTCACATAACACAGACATGCACGCAGACACATTTATATCAGACACAGGCATACTCACACAGTCCAGATCTCAGAGACCTGCATACATACCTACATTCACACACAAACATACACATCCATATCACACAGCCATATCCATGCACATCTATCTCACAGAGACCTGCTCGCATCCATCCATCCATACATACATAGACACACACACATCCATATTTCACAAACATGCTAGCAGGCACACCTCCACATCACATAGACATGCTCATATCCCACTCACACACGTTCCTATCACCGAGATGTGAAGGGAACATGCAGGATCCCTCAGTAGGTTTCTATGGCGTCTTCGGCGTGGGGTTGGCGCTCACTTGTGGCAGAATACCGAGCAAGAACCAGCCTAACTTGCTTTCCGAGTCCTGGACTGGCTCGTCTCCTGCAGGGGAGGAGTGAGCACGAGTGGGCTGTGGCAGGCACTGACTGGCCACAATGGCTCAACAGTCCCTCAGTCTGAAAGTCAGGAACATTTGACTTGTGAAAATCCCAACTGAGGGTCTGACAGGGAGAGATGGGAACAGGCAGAGTTGGGCGTGTGGACAGATGCCCCAGGGAAGGAGCCATGAACCCCCACATTCCCCAGCGCGGCTGAGGCAGTGACTGGCCGGACTCCAATGTCCCCCTGGGCCCTGGCAGGGTCATTGGCTGCCTCTGTGGAAATCTCTGTCCTGTCCCTCACCTCAGGGTCTGTGGTCTGCGCTGGTGAAGCCCCTCCTGAAAGACTGTCCAGGCCCGTGTGAAATAGAGACGTGTACATACATGGTGGACACTGGGGGCCCAGGGGTTCTCTATCTTGAGGTCACTGGGCTTCATGCCCGCTTCCCCCAAGCTTCTGATACCATAAGGCATGTGTGGGAGGTGCCGGCGACCAGGGACAAACAGAAACTCCCTGCTCGTCCCTGCTCTGGTGGAGATGGTGCCCAGCTTCCTCCTCCCTGCTCCCTGAGTCCTGGGTGTGAGCAGAAGCCCAGATTCTGGAATGACTATGAGTGAAACTCAGGTCCAGACAGATAATTCCTGCTGGTGGTGAGGCCAGTGCTGGGCTGCCGAGACTCATCTCTGTCACCCCCCAGGGTGGCCGCTTCGAGTCACCTCAAGGCTATGAGCAGAGACAGTCGGCTTCAACCAACCACCCAGAGTCCATTTTCATGTGACTTTGTGGATGCTTTTCCCAGGCTGTGTAGTGGTCCTGGAAGCGTTTGTTCCCTCACTCTCTCCCCCAAATGCAGATTCCGGCAAACAGAACCAAACTCAAATGTCGCGAGGAGCAGAGGGCATCAGGGAAGGGCATGGCCAGGGTGGCTGTATCAAGTGGGAGGTAAGTCAGATCTGGGGAGTCACAGGTGAGGGGGAGAAGGAGGCGGGGACCCACCCATATACCACTTACGTCCTTGTGACAGTTTGCCCGAGTTCTCCTGACAGCTGAGCCCATGGGGCATCTTACCCTTGCTCGTGGGGAGGAGGAAGGACAGTGATGAGCAACAGGATGGCCCGAAAGCCTCAGACTTGCTGACCAGGTCTGCCTGCATAGGGAGGGATAATAGGCAGAAGAGAAGGCAAAGCAGCTGAGAAGATTCTTGTTTGAGCCCACGCTGAGCGGGAGATGGCCAACTGGCCGATTAGACACGGAACGAGGAGGATTCCGTTGCTACTTAGCACTACTGGTCAGGAGCAGGGACAGGACGCCAGGTGTGAGAGCTGACTTTGCAGACCCGTGGCTCTGTGACAAAGTCCAGCTGCTGAACATCGCCACACCTTTCCCCCGCCACACACACAAGCTCCTTC